CACTAATACAGGTATTTGTGAGTCCGATCTCGTGGCGTGGACCGATGGAATTGAATGAAGAATGGACTGAGCGCACGGCGCGGACAGTGCTGAATGAGCTGAGTGACACATCAATCGCAAAACGTCTATGTGTGCAAATCACGGAAAAATTGCGACAATCCCATGAAAACTTTCTGACAGTGAGTTGTTGCACTGCGCAGCCGCCAATCTGGCTCTGTGATCAGGTTAAGTACGCTCATATGTTTATATGATCACATGACAGAAACGGATTTCTGGGTGGGGCTCACCAAGGCGAAACCTTTTGTTTCGTACCTGTGGCGATATTGATTGACCGCACGGACATTGTGTAGTGGGTACATGTGAAACAAATGTTGAACATCACAGAGTGGGCGATTATTTGGGACAGTGAACAAACAGTTACTCTTCTGTAGTATATAATGCGCTGATCACTCTGTCGAAACCCGAGTGACTCTATTTCAATGCGCACGTCATTTTTGGTTGTCCTACTCTTTCTGGTAAGCTGGAAAATGTAGGAAAATTTAAAAACATCCTCGAGTGAACAATGAAGCTCATAGCACGAGAACACGAAAATTTGATGAACTGTGGTGGTCCTTCTGTGAAACTCCACCATTTGGAAATATAAAGAAGATTCAAATCAAGAAATTCAAGAAAACTTACTTGTATTTATCGGGTTACAAATTGGCAAGTAAAAGCGGTTTCAACCTCCTGGTGGTGGCCTCATACAGTGTCGCTTCGTTTATTAGTTTCAACTTACACCTCTACTACTTCACATCAATATCCCCCTCCGAAATTGTGTTAGGCACGTGGTACTTTTCACGCACCTTTCTTGCAACATAAATAAGCCGAACTGTAAACTCATGCTATGCTTAAGTTGCCCAATTCTACGCTGTTTTTCTTTCTAAAATAATAATAATAACCTATCAGTTATTGGAGTGCGAGGTTTTCCCCAAAGTCAAAGTTTTATTGTGGGCATTACTTACAAGCAGATGCTTTTCTTGTCCCATAGGGTGTTGAAACGAGTTGAACTGCAACAGTGATGAACAAAATTCCATATGCTGCATTTGGTTGTGTTTTATGTTCTTATGGATGTTGGAATGCAATGTTTGTTAATGATTCATCAAGTTTTACCTTGAGAGAATCAATCGTCTCGGCACATACAACATGAGATGGTAGGGAATTTCAGGCAGTGCACACTCTGACGGCAAAGGAATGACGTCGGCAGTCCAGTTGAGATTTTTGGAGTACCACCTTGAATGGATGTCCCCGTAGATGAACGTTTGATGACAAAGTCAGAAGTCAGCGACAAGGGTGGTTTAGGCCATGTAATATTTGGTACACCAAAATCAAGTCTCCTCGAATCAGGCGATACTGAGCAGAGTATACATCCAACNGCCTTTGTGGATGTTCCAAAATCTTATGATCACGTCGTAACCATGGGTTCCAAGTTTGCATGGCATACTCAATATGCGGCCGGATGTATGCTGACAACAGACGTGAGAATAACGATGGTTCGAAACGACCGAAAACACGTTTAAGTAGACCGACATGTTTGAGTGCGGTTGATGATGTCCTGGTGCAGTTATCAGAACAGCTCAGGTCTTCGTGGACTATAACACCCAAGTCCTTCTCTGTTGATGCATGAGGCA